TGCCCCTTCCATATATAGGAAGACAAGAAATCTTCCCTTACAATTACCTAAGGGTAGAAGGATGTAGATCATTAAATACTTTGTGTGGGAAGTTATAGGCCACCTAGATGCCCTCATAGGTAGGAGGAATCAGCTAACCAGAGACAATAGGTCAATTCATTTCTGTCTGTAGCTCTGGAATGTGATAGGGGAGGGTGGGAGGTTTTTCCAGTGATAAATGAAAATCAGGGCTGCACCAGTCATGGGTATAAATGTGTATGATCCTTATGGTGTCAGGAACCCTAAGCAAAGACAATCCTTACCTCCCTGCCAGCCCTCTTTTTTTTTTTTTTTTAAGAATTATTTTATTTAATTTTATTTATTTTAATTTGACCAGAGAGGGACAGAGTGAAAGAGAAAGAGAGAGAGGGAAAGTGAGAAAGCAAGCCACCAGGTCCAGGACTTGAACCACAATCGGCCATGAGGGAGTCCAGTCCCCTTAACCACCACGTCACCTGCTGACCCCCTTCAGAATTCTTGAAACTATATTACATATTGACATGGCTTCTTTCTTTCTTTCTTTCTTCCTTCCTTCCTTCCTTCCTTCCTTCCTTCCTTCCTTTCTTTCTTTCTTTCTTTCTTTCTTTCTTTCTTTCTTTCTTTCTTTCTTTCCACTATAATGTAAGCTCCAAGAGAACAGGACTATTTGTCAGTTTTGTTTTCTGTTATAATCCTATTGGTATCTGACAAATAACAGGTGCTTAATAGGTATTTGTTGAATGAATGAATAAGTAGTAGAACTTTACCAAGAACTTGGCAGAATCTTTTGGGGAGCTTAGCTTTGTAGGCCACGGCTACAGAATGAAATTATAATGTGATTAAGATAAAATAGCAGTCGTTAGAGGAAGGCAGCACTTGCTGACGAGATTATCCCCTGCATGTGTTCCCTCTGTCCCTGAGGGAGGGGCACCTGCCTGCTGTATCCCTGCTCTCAGCGCAATGCTAAACACCTAGGGTTAAGTACTTGTCTATATCAGTAAGAAACAATGCATTCTGAGCCATATGAAGGAAAACAGAAGAACTAGGTACAATACTTGTCTGGGTTCCAACCAAGGCATGCACTAGCAGACAGGAAGTCTCTGAGGAGGAAAAGAAGGAGAATGGCAAATGTGGTGGGGAGGGGTCACAGTCCAGGAAGCAGCAGAGCTTGGCCTTGCCAGCCCAGCAGAATCTGCACAGAAATGGCTACCAAGACTATGTTGATCTGTAATTCGAACTTTGCATAATTAATTCTCATTGAAGGCCTGGCCTCTCACAAGTTAGGTCTGTGTGGTGTGATGGGGTGACACTTCTGGGCCAGCCTGTGAGCCCCTGCAGTAGCTTCTGAGAAATCCATGCCTTGCAACAGGGACCAGCAGTTAGCGTAATGGCTATGTCGCTGGACTCCCATGTAGCCGACCACAGATCCAGACCCAGTGGCTTAAACTCATGTTGGGCGGGAGTGCATGTGTGCCCAAGATCCATGAAGGAGAATGGAGAAGAAGGGATTGTGGCATGGCCAATCGTTCCCCCCCCCCAGGGGGGGGGTGTGATTTCTAGCTTTCTGTCTCTCTCTGTCTTTCTGGTGAGTGCACGTGCCCTATAGCAAAAACCTCCCCCCCCAAAAAAAAGAAATCCTGCAGCAGTGACCACCTTCCACCAGTTCCTGACTCAGGCCGTCAGGCCGTCAAGCCGCCAGGCATAATGGAAAGTTGAGTATAGCACAAAGAAGCAGAGTTGAACTTCTGCCACTTCAGTGTCAGTGCTCCTGCTTGAATCTCTAAGGGCGGTTTACAGATTTCAAACAGACTTGACAAACATGAAATGTACTCATTTACCCAACCTGACCATGACCGTGGGGGATTATCGTTACATTTTAAGGGAATAAAATATTCACTATGGACGAATACCTGTTTGCCAGTCCCAGGCAAGTTTTTTTAAGGAGCATTTTATTTTTCTTTCTTTCTTTCTTTCTTTCTTTCTTTCTTTCTTTCTTTCTTTCTTTCTTTCTTTCTTTCTTTCTTTCTTTCTTTCAATTTAATTGAGAGAGACACAGAAAGAGAGGGTGAGAAAGCAAGCTGCCAGGATCGGGACTCAAACCATGGTAAGCCATGTGGGAATCCAGCACCTCTAACCACCACGCCACCTGCTGGTCCCTATACAAGTTTTAATAAATAAATTATAAATCTTACTAAATGGCACAGAAACAGGTTTTGGTTTTTGTTTTAAAATGTTCTGCAGGGTGCATGCACTCAACCAGAAAGAGAGAGGGAAAGTGAGAAAGCACCCGCCAGGAGGATGGCTATGCTGCAATCCTTTCTTCTTCATTGTTTTCTAGGGATTTGGGGCACACACACACATGTGCCTGGCATGTTTTCCAAGCTGATAGGTCCAGGACTTGAATAATGCAGTTGGTCATGTAGGATCCAGCCTCCAGCCACCTTAATTATAAAGCCACTGGCTTGAAATAGGTTTTTTCTTTAGAATTATTTATTTAATTTTGATTTTTTATTATTAATTATTATTGTTATTATTATTTTAAATTTGCCAGAGAGAGAGAGACAGAGAGTGAGTGGGAAAGTGAGAAAGCAGGCTGCCAGGTCCTGGACTTGAACCACGGTTGGCCATTGTGGGAGTCCAACGTCATAACTGCCATGCCACCTTCTGGACCCGAAACAAGTTTTAATAAATCATAAGCTTACTAAAATGTTGTAAAACTGAATAAAAAAACTCCAGACTAGGTAAGTACACACACACACACACACACACACACACACACACACACACAGATCTTCCTTATTATATGCCCAAAGTACACAGCTCAAAATTCAAGCAAATTACTCAGTTAAAAAAAAAAAAAAAAAAAAAAAAAAAAAAGAACAGGACCAGCAGATGGTGTAATGAACCACCTGAACTCCCATGTAGTTGACTGGAGTTCGAGTCCCAGACCCCACGTCTTAAAACTCACGCTGGACATGTGTGTGTCTGTGCCCTAAATCCTGAGAGAAAGGATTGTGGTGTGACCATCCTCACTGTGGTTTCTCACTTTCTGTCTCTCTGTCTCTCTCTATCTCCCTGGCAAGTGCATGCGTTCTATAGCAACAATCTCTCAAAAAAAAAAAAAAATGCCCCCCTTAAAAAAAGAATCACAACATAATTTGCCTAGAAGTAATAAGTAATTACTTTTGTCATTTTCTGTGGTACTATTTATATTGGCGGTCTGGAAAACCATGATACATTTTTGCATAGAATAAAACACAGAAAAACATGTCATGACTTTTCCGATGACCTACTATTTCATTTTAATCTGGGCTGGTTTCGAGAACTACGACCATTCAGTTTTGTCCTTCACTACTCCCTGTGGGCACTCAAGCGTGGCTGGGTATTTAATTTTTTCAATTCCCACAGCATAAAAAATAAAGCAAAAAAGCAAACAATCTTGTCATTTTTTATCTGATACCCTCTAAAACTCAGAAGGGGTACTTAGCCATCTGAGAGGTAGGCTTGACCTGGATTAAACGTACCGGCACAGCCTGGCATCTGCCCCACACTGAGCAACACACCTCACGGTTGCACACCAGCCACTCGGGCTCCTGTGGAGGCGGTAGGAACCCGAGGCAGGCTGGCTCAGGACACAGGCCCCAGCACAAGGACATGCAGACAGGCAGTATTTCTTTGCTATATGGACCCAGAATGGCCAGATTTTCTTTTTTTAAATTTTGCCAGAGTGGGTGCATTCACCAGCCAGAGACAAAGAGGAAGAGAAAGGGAGGGAAAGAAAGCACCACTAGTGGAGCATAGTCATGCCTCACCCCCTTCTCCTCTATTTTTCCATCCTGTTGGGATTACGGGCATGCATGCACATGTGCCTAACATGTTTTCCAAGCTTCTGGGTCTAGGACTCAAACCTTGGGGTGAGTCACGTAGGATCCAGCTGTCTTAACCACTAGGCCATAGAGCTGGCCCAGATCTCAAGTCTTTTTTTTAATGAGAGTTTTTTTTTTTTTTTTAATTTCAAGTTTTTTTTTTAATGAGATTTTTTTTTTTTTTTTTTTTTTTGTTATAGAGCATGTGCACTTGCTGAAGAGACAGAGACAGAGAGAGAAAGTGAGAAATCATCCCCCAGGGGGGATGGCCACACCACAATCCCTTTTCCTCCAATTTTTTCGGGATCTTGGGCATGCATGCACACATGCCCAATGTGAGGTTTATGCCACTGAGGCCCAGGACTCGAACTGTGGTTGGCTACCTGGGAGTCCAGCGACGCAAACATTACACTATCTGCTGGTCCCCCAGATCTCACTTTTAAAGAAAAGCCAGAAACCCAGTTTTTAACATGAATCTCTGGATTTTTTTTTTTTTGTTGTTGTTGTTGAGAGTTTCTGACTATAGGGCGTGTGTGCTCACCAGAAAGACAGAGAGACAGAAAGCAAGAAGTCACCCCCCCCGGGGGATGGCCACGCCACAATCCCTCCTCCTCCATTCTCCTCTTGGGTCTTGGGCACTCACATATATTCACCTGGTGTCAGTTTAAGCCACCACGTCCAGGATGGTTTGGGAGTCCAGCAACATAGCCATTACGCTAACTGCTGGTCCCAAATCTCTGGATTTTTAAAAACTGTAACAGTAGTTCTAAAAATGGTTTAAAAATATTCAATGGGGCAACAAGTACATCTGTGGCCTGACATGGCTCCTGGTCAGCCTGATTGTGAGCTCATCATAAGTGCTCGGTTATTGCAATGATGTCAATGAATCAATGGAACCATCTAAGGCGGATTTTAACAAAAATCAAAAAATGATGTCTTTCGTTGCAAAAAGCAGAAATATTTGGAAATATACAAAGAAAGAATAGGATAATAAAATATCTAAAATAGCTCAGGAGACCTCAATTCCCGGGATTGTATTTTGGATAATTTTAGTAAAAAATGATATTTAAATATAAAGCTCTAGTGATCTAGATAATTATAAATATGTGCACTTACAAGGTGGCTAGCATGGTTCGTGGTGTCTTGATCTTCACTTTTCTTTCTGTGGCCTCAATAGAATGCATCTTATATTCCAGGGGAAAATGGAATCCAGCCAAAGAACAAATTCGATTGTTTAGTTCACCTTTCGTATACTGTGCAGTGCAATCTGAGAGACTTCCACAACCGAAAATTGCCCTAGTCTCAACCTAGTGCTGATGAAGTCCTCTTATAAGAGAGACAATTCCTCAGCTCTCAGAGTCACCAGAGGAAGCCAGGAGAGATGATCTTGGGAAGGTAGAGATCTGGGAAAGAAAAAAAAAAAAAACATTATTATTTTTAGCATTTATGTTCTCTTTTTAGAGTTTTTTTGTTTTGTTTTGTTTTTGTTTTTTGCTATATGGTGCTTGCACTCGCCAAAGAGACAGAGACGGAGAGACAGAAAGCGAGAAGTCACCCCCTGGGGGTGGTCACATCGCAATCTCTTCTCTTCCATTCTCCTCTCTGGATTTTGAGCATGCACGCACACGTGTCCAGTGTATTTCAAGCTGCTGAGTCCAGGACGTACCCATTACACCATCTGTTGGTCCCGCGTTTATGTTCTTAACCTGTCGCTGAAGTGCTCATTCAACAAGCACTCATTGACTACATGGAAGGATTGTTACAAAACCTCCTTCCCCACCAGCCAGGCAGGACCGTTGCTCTTGCCTTGGCAGGTCTGGAAACCAAGTCTCAGGGTTTATCTAAAGAGAACAGAGGCAGGGACCAGCAGGTGGCGTGGTGGCTAAGGTGCTGGACACTCCCACATGGCCGACCACGGTTCAAGTCCCGGACCTGGTGACTTACTTTCTCACTTTCTCTCTCTCTCTCTCTCGTCAAATTAAAAATAAATGAATGAGGGAACCAGCGGTTAGCGTAATGGCTATGTCACTGGACTCCCACGTAGTCGACCGTGGTTCGTGCCCTGGACCCGGTGGCTTAAAACTCACGCCGGGCGCGTGTGCGTGCATGCCCAAGATCCCGAGAGGAGAATGGAGGAGAAGGGATTGCGGCGTGACCATCCCCCCTGGGGGGTGATTTCTTGCTTTCTGTCTCTATGTCTCTCTCTGTCTGTCTGGCGAGCGCACGCACCCTACAGTGGAAATCTATCCAAAATAATAATAATAATAATAAATTTTAAAAAAATGAATGAGTAAATAAAATTAAATAAATAAATCTTTAAAAAAAAAAAAAAAAAGAACAGAGGTGATGATTGTGGTGCAGTGGTAAAATGTAATGCTCTGCAAGGTTGCCCTACAAGAAAGGTTCTGGGTTGGGCTGAAATCTGAAGATGTCCCTGAGTACACCAGGCAGGTACTATGAACTGGGGCTGGCTATGGCTGGGGATGGATCACGGTGTCAAGACATTGTTGTGAGCACACACACACTCTCTCCTGCTCATAGAAGAAAGAAATACAAATAAATTTCCAAAGAACAAAGGAAAGAATGGAGAAAGCAGTACAACAGAGTGGTTTCCATGGTAGTCCTGAGGTCAGGTTGTTTGGTCTCAAGGCCTGCCCCAGGCAGTTTCTAGTTGGTAGAGTTGACAGAGTAATGGTTCCAGTCTCAAAGAGCTGTTGGATCAAATGATAGAAGACATACAAAGAGCTTAGCATGCAGCCTATTAAATGACTCTGATTAGTACAAGAATTCAGTAGATGTTAGCTATCACGAGCATTTGTCAAAAAGATCCTATAACTAAGCTTGAGCCGATGCAGTATATCTTTACAATTCTGCCCACACCCAGTATTTCTACCTTATTGTCAAACTATAGGATCGGAATTCCCAGAGAACAGAAACAAGTGCACATTATCAGCTCCTTACCAATAAAGGAACAGAAATCGTGGAAACAGGGAGAAGAAGACAAGAAGCCACATACTCATGAATGGACCCATCGTAGTCGGTGACTTTACCTCCATCTCTCCCTCCTTTTGGGATTTTGGAAAAACACATAAACGTGTCCAGGGTATTTCTCAAGCTGCCCAGTCCAGAACTTGAACCATGTGGTTAGCCATGTGGGATCTGACTGCCTTAACCACCATGCCATGGAGCCAGCTCTCTTTTTCATCTTTTCTTTTCATTTTTTTTTTTTTTTTGGAGAGTTTTTTGCTATAGGGCGCTTGCGCTCGCCAGAAAGACCCAGAGAGACAGAAAGCAAGAAATCACCCCCCCGGGAGGATGGCCACGCCGCAATCCCTTCTCCTCCGTTCTCCTCTCGGGATCTTGGGCACGCACGCACACATGCCCGGCCTGAGTTTTAAGCCACCAGGTACAGGATGCAAACCGCGGTCGACTACGTGGGAGTCCAGCGACATAGCCATTACGCTAACTGCTGGTCCCCCCCCCTTTTTTTTCTTCTTTAAGTTTATTTCTTCCATGGGCAAGAGGGAGACAGAAATAGAGACAGAACTCTCCATAGGGTTTTCATGCTGTGATCCATCCCCAGCTTTAGCCAGCCCTGGACCATGGGCACACTTGTGCCCGGCATACTCAGGAGGGTCACTGGATACAAACCTGGAACCTTCCTATGTGGGCCAACCTCGAAAGAGGGTCACATTTTACTAAGGCGCCACCCTCTGGAAACCCAGATCTGTTTTTATGCTTGAGTCATTGGAATGACCAATCAGCTCAAGTACAAAGATGCAATAAAGACATTTTTAGGCTTTTTAGGCTTCAAAAGGTGAGATGTTCTAAGAAACAGTAAATTGTTACAACAACTTCTCAATAGATGTGAAATAGTACAGAGACTGGTAAAGTCGGTGAATAATGGTACGGTGCACTGGTTTATTCCACAAATACGTACTGAATGCCTACTATATGCTGGCTAACCGCTAGGCTAGAACAGGTAACCAAACCCTCGTGGAGCTTATACTCTAGTGGAGACAGATGGATAAAAAACAACCACAGGAGGAAAACCGAGTCAAGGGTGGTGAGTGCAATGGAGAGTGAGGGACCGAGGTCTCTAGTCCCAGTTCCCAGTTGAAGAACCACAGAACTATAATGGATGGCACCATTGAGCCAGCCAGTTGGCATGGTAGTTAAGGTGGCTAACCACCACATGGCCAACGATGCTGTCTGAGTTCCGACCCAGTGGCTTGAAAAACACACTGGGCACCTGTGTGCAAGTGCACAAAATCCTGAGAGGAGGGACCAGCAGTTAGCGTAATGGCTTTGTCGCTGGACTCCCATGTAGTCGACCGCAGTTCGTGTCCTGGACCCGGTGGCTTAAACTCATGCCGGGCATGTGGGCATGCGTGCGTGCCCAAGATCCCGAGAGGAGAATGGAGGAGAAAGGATTGTGGCGTGGCCATCCCCCCGGGGAGTGATTTCTCGCTTTCTGTCTCTCTATCTCTCTCTGTCTGTCTGGTGAGTGCACGCGCCCTATAGCAAAAGCCTCTCAAAAAAAAAAAAAATCCTGAGAGGAGAAGGAAAAACACCACACCACCTGCTGGCCCCCCAACTTTGACTTTTTAAAGAATTCAGCCCAGTTTTGGGGGGTCAACAGGTGGTGGTAGTTAAGGCACTGGGCTCCCACATGGCCAAATGCAGTTTGAGTCCCGGACTTGGCTTGCTTTCTCACTTTCCCCCTCTCTCTCTCTCTCTGTCTGGTGAGCACATGTGCCCTGTAGCAAATTTAAAATAATAATGAGGGTGTGTGTGCTACAGAGAAAGACACAGAGGGGGAAGATGAGAAATCAACCCGCCAGCAGGCAGGGATGGCCATGCTGCTTCTCCTTTCTCCTCTTGGAATTTTGGGCACACGTGCACACCTGCCTGGCAGGTTTCAAGCCTCCATGTCTGGACTCAAACTGCCGTCAGTCATGTGGGAGTCCAATATCTTAACCACCATGCCACCTGCTGGCCCTAGACATCTCTTTTCTTAGGATATATATGCTAGAACATATAGAAATAAGCAGAATAGCCAGTGATGTAGAGGTTAAGGCGGCTGGATCCCACATAGCCTACTATGCGATTCAAGTCCTAGCCCTGGCAGCTTGAAAAACACACTGTGCGGGGGAGGGATGTGCATGCATGCTCAAAATCCTGAGAAGAGAATGGAGGAAAAAGGATTGAGATGTGGCCATGCCCCTTGGGGGTGTTTTCTCACTTTCCTCTCTCTCTCCTCCTCTCCGTTTCTCTCTGGTGAGCACATGCACCATGTAGCAAATCAAAAAAAGAAAAAAAGAAGAAGGGGTTGGCAGGCAGCACGGTGGTTAAGGGTGCTTAACCCACGTGACCCACCATGGTTTGAGTCCTGGCCCTGGCACCTTACTTTCTTACTTTCCTCTCTCTCTCTCTCACTTTGTCCCTCTCTGATTAAATTTAAATAAATAAATAAAGTTTAAAAAAAAGGAAGAAAGATGGGACCAGCAGGTGGCGTGGTGGTTAAGGCGCTGGACACTCCCACATGGCCAACTGCAGTTCAAATACCGGACCTGGTGGCTTGCTTTCTCACTTTCCCGCTCTCTCTCTCGGTCTGTTTCTCTCTCTGGTCAAATTTAAATAAATGAATGAATAAATAAAATAAAATAAATAATTATTTTTTAAAAAATGAAGAAAGCAAGCAAACATTGCAAATTCTTATTGATTATTAAATCTAAGTAGAGGATACTCAGTTGCTCATTGCTCTAATTTTCTAAGTTTTCTGCAAATATTAAAATATTAAAAAGTTGGGCTCTTCATTTCTGGCTGCTGGCTGTGCTGGTTGGAACCCTCTCCCCATGCTCCCTTCCATGCCTCAAAAAATTGAAGAAATCAAAGACTCTCTGCTAACAGCCCAGCAAAAGGACACCAAGTCTGTCAAGATCAAGAAAAATAAAGATAATGGGACCAACAGATGGCGTGGTGGTTACAGCGCTGGACACTCCCACATGGCCGACCATGGTTCCAGTCCTGGACCTGGCAGCTTGCTCTCTCTTTATCTCTGTGTCTCTCTCTGGTCAAATTAAAATAAATGAATGAATAAATAAAATTAAACAAATAATCTTTTAAAAAGAGTTATGCTGTCTTATTAAAAAAAAAAAAAGAAAGAAAAATAAGGATAATGTGAAGTTTAAAGTTCGATGTGGCAGATACCTTTACACCTTGGTCATCACAGACAGAAAAGGCAGAGAGACTGAAGCAGTCCCTGTCACCCAGGTTTGGCAGTGAAGGAGCTAAAATGAACCAGATGCTGTTTGAACTACATTAAACATTATTTAATTAAAAAAAAAATTAACAAGTTGGATAGGGCCAGCCCCATGGACTAGTGAGTGGTTAAGGGATC